GCCCGCACTGGGCCCTCCACTGCCTGTCAGTGTGCCTCGCTCCTCACAGCCCTGCAAGCCGAGCCGGAGCAGCGCGGAAATAGAGGCTCAGGGAGGTTAAGAAACTTTCCTGAGGTTCCCGCCTAATGAAGATACAGCATTGAGGTTTGAGGCCAGGTTTCCCAGTCCTTAAGTACATGCACACACCCCCTCCCCAAGCCACACACACACACACACACACACTCTGTCCTCCGCCTCTGACACTTTTTACCTCTGACACCTGTCCCACCCCTGTGTCCTCCCTCCCTGTGGGTTCGGACTCTGGGGGCTTTGCTTGGCCTCTGCCCAGTCCTGGCCCCTCTGTCTTGCTGCCACAGGGATCTCCCCTGGCCTCAGATGCCGAGCCCACAAGGAAGGGGGTGGGGATCTTGGCCAGCAGGGGCCTCTCAGCCCCTCTCCCAGCTCACTAATTTATCGCAAATGCATGTTGAGCTCATGTGCCCGGGACTGTCCCAGGCCCTGTTGACACCCCGCCCCTTGCCAATCCCCTTCTAGTGCCCGCTGCAGCTTTCTGGGGCAGTGGGGTGAGGTTTCACCTGAATTCTCACCCGGTCCTCTGACCCCACCACATCCCGGCACCCACCTGCCAGGCCCTTGGGTGTGTGCACCCTCTCCCAGAATCCTCAGCACCCCAGGAAGCCCTGGCCCCAGGCCACCTGCCCAGGAATGGCTGCAAATTCAAGCTCAGCCCCGACTGTTGACAAAGCCCCCTTCCTGCCCTCCTCTGCCACCGGCCCATATGTGGCCTGGAGCAGGTCCCGTCCCCTCTGCCTCAGCCTTCTGCCCTGCGTGTTTGGAGCTGAGCGCCCCCACCCCCCACCCCTTGGGCCCTGTGTGATCCTGAGTGCCCTAAGTGGGCAGTGAGACCCGCTTCTCTCAGCCTGTTTCATTCGTCCGTGCTGACAAAGTGCCTACTGTGTGCCGACAAAGTGCCTACTGTGTGCCAAAGGCTCAGCAGGGACACTCTCAGATGGGCTCAATACCAGCCCTGCCTTCAGCTCACTACATCCCAGGAGGCCAATCGCCCGTGACATGACTGGGAGTGTGGGCTAGATTTGGCTTCTTACACCAAAACCCATGAGTCCAGAGGAGGGAGGGAGGGCAGGGCCCTGGGAGGAGGAACAAGGAAGATGGGGCGGGAGGGGTGTTGGAGGGCAGGAAGGGCCCTCCTGGCTGAGCAGTGGTTCAGAAGTGGAAACAGCCATTCAAAGGAGCGGCTTCCCGGCTCTACTGAGAATCGAGGTCACAGCAGTTGGCCGGGGCAGAAGGCAGAGGGTCACGAAGTCAGGGCTGGGGGCTGCAAGCCACAGTTTCCCTTCTTGCTTAGCAGGACCTCCAAGGGAGCTTGTAGATGGAGAGGCAGCCTCCTCCCCACCTTTCCTCTTGTGCTGGGGAAGCCTGGCACCGGGGGAGCCCTGGGGCCCTTCAGATGCAGCTGGCTCTGGGAAAGGAAGCGTGACAGCCCTGCCAGGCAGGCTTTTTCCATTTCCTCGGCCGAGTGAATGGAGAGAGGAAGTGCAGGAGCGCGGGCCTGTCTGCGGCAGGCAGGCAGGGTGCTCTGCTGCAGGCACTGCCCACGCGCCCTCTGTGTCCGCCAGCACCTCTGCAGCTCGGGCCTTCCCACGGCCCCATTGCTCAGGGCAGACGCTGAGGCTACAGGACTTGCCCAAAGCCATGCACCTGTAGGAACGCAGAACCGGGATTCAAACCCAGGTCTGGCTGGCTGCCCCAAGCTGGTGTCCAGCCCGAGAGCAGGCAGAGGATCTGAAGGAGGTGCCCTCTGTCCTCTTTTAAGTTAAAATGGGGCCAGGCCCTAACATGAACACATAGAATGGCCTTTAATGGGAAGGAAAGTCCAAGGGCGGATGAGGGGTTGCCTTGGGGGTGGGGCATGCTTAAGGCTGATGGGTATATAGGAGGTTGCAGCTGCTCACCTGCCTCCCCAGGCAGGGCCCAGCCCTGCAGGTAAAGATGGGACAGAACTCAGTGCTCGGGACGTTAACTAGAGGCAGGTGCAGGGGATCCGCTCCCTGGAGATCAAGTTCAAGATCTTGGGAGGTGCCAGGGCCCTTTCTTGATTGGTGGTGAGCTCAGTGCTGGGGCTGCACCCTGGGGTGGCTGCAGTGGGTCCCGTTGGCCCCGGTCCCTGGTGGCAGTGCCTGTGGATAAGGCTTGTTCCACCTCTAAATGATGCCAGGGTCAGGTGGAGCCTCTTTCTATACCATCCCCTGCAGACTGGCACTGCCACACCTCACCGTCTTTGATTTATGGTTCCAGCCTATGTGGCAGGGGGGAGCTTTGTATGCTGCTGGGGAGAGGACAGTGGGCAGAGGAGCTGGGGTCACTGACACCGCCCAGGCCTGGGGGTTGGGGCTTGAGAGTCAGCCTTATGTCATGGGGCTGAGGTCTGGGGGCTTTGCCCAACGGATGGAGGTGTTAGGAAATGCTAGTCTGGCCCTTCTCTTTTTCCCTGGCCTCCGTCCCAGAGCCACTGCTGCATGGGGAACTGGGGCAGGGCCGGAGGGTCCAAGTGTCCATCTCCACCGAGCACTTTCCAGGGCCAGACACACTGCCCTCCGTACCTCACAACTAGAGCCGGTGTTCTCACAACATCCCTTTAAGGTAGGACCCTTTATTTCCCCGACGACAGGTGTGTGCCTGCAGTGTGTGTGTGTGTGTGTGGGGGGGGTATGCGGCTGAGCCATAGAGAGATTAAATGACTTGCCCACAGGCACGCGGCTAAGAAATGGCAGACAGGATTGGAACTCAGGTATGACTTCAGTTAACGTTAGGTCTTCTGCAGTAAGCTGGCCCTTTGTGAAGCGTCCTGTCCATCACATTGTTTCTCCTTAGCTTTGCCCTAGGGGAAAGGTAAGGGTTTCCATTTCACAGAGTAGTAACTTGCTTTGACTGATGGCTGACAGATCAGCCCCCCCATCCCCCCTGCCAGGCAGGGGCCCTGGGCCACCATCCTCACTAACTGCAGTGTCTTCATGTCATCGTGCAGGGGCTGCTCTGTGTGCTCTGACCAAGCTTCTCTTTTTTGCCGCTAAATCTCTAGGAGGTGGGAGGTAGTATGGCTCCATTTCACAGATGGGGAAAACTGAGGCTCAGGGAAGTGAGGAGACTTGCCCAAACCACACAACCAGTGAAGACTTGAGTCAGGCAGCATGCCAGCCTGGGAGAGAGGGTTAAGTGACAGGTGGTGGCGGGGAGGGAGTTGGAAGACTGACCATGCCTGGTGCTGGCAGGATGGGGAGAGAAACCCGAAGGCCCACGCCTTGTGGGGAATGCAAATGGGCCGCTGCTGTGGATGCGGTTTGGCGCGATCTCCTGGAGCAAAATGGAGGCGGTAGCGTGTAACTCAGTATTTACCTTAGAGAGATGGAAACTTACGGTTGCACTAAGCCTGTATATGGATGTTTATAGCAGTTTTGTTCACAGTCATTAAACTCTGGAATCAACCCAGTTGTTCCTTGGTGAGTGACGATAATGACACTGGTATATCCGTCCCGCGGAATACATACGACTGTGCCGTGGCTCTCAGGCCCGCCTGGCAGCGGGAGGCGTGCCAAGCTGATTGCAGCTTCGCTCTGGATTCACAGGCAGGTGGTGGCGAGTGGCTGAGGTGTTGTGACAGATCCTGGTCCCCGAGAAGCCGAGTGATTAAGCTCTGGCTCTCCCCCCACCCCCCAGGGACTAGCCGCCTCCTGCCTACAGGCACAGGGCACTGAGCTGCCTCCTGGTGCCCCCAGGTGCGTATGTAGGGGGTGGGGGGCGGAGGGGAAAGCATAGCGGCCCCCAGTTGACAGATGAGGGACGAGGCTGGGGAGCTGAGGCAGGCCATCTCCATGGACATGGCACTCACTGGAGACCTCCCATCCTGATCTTGCCCTGAGTTCCCAACTCTAGCCGGTGCATCCTGCCCAGTGTGTCTATGCCTACAGCCTCATCATCCAAACACCGCACAGTCTGGTTTTCGGATCTGATGTTTATTTGCGGAGTGCTTCACTTTGCTTTAAGATACATTGGGGGCCTGGAGGGGACGTAGAGACATCTCTGTGCTCTGCCTTCAGCAGCCCTGGAGAGTGAGGCTCGCCTGGGGCCACGCAGCACTGAGACCTCGGTCTGAGGCCCGGTCCGGGAGGCCGGCACATCCAGCCCAGGTTCCCGGTTGAGCCTTGTCTGTGAACTCCGGTGATGTTCCTGCCTTCCCAGAGGGTGGCCATGGGTGGGAATGAGTGTTGGAATACGGGAGGCACCCACTGCTGATCCCTGGGGAACTTAGTTGGACTTAGTTGGACTTCATTGGACTTGGGTCTTCTCGTCTGAGAAAGGGGTGTAAACAGCACCCATCCTGCAGGGCGGAGTGGCTGTGTTTAGAGGAGCCTGGTGCCACGCCGAGGCCAGCATCTGGGAGCCTTTGCTTCATTGTGGTTTCCACTCCTGTCTCTTCTGTGTAGGTGTTTGCTGACGGAAGGCGAGAACGGGTACTCAACTCATCTCTGTGTCTCCCTTGCCCAGCTCGGTGCCTGGCACACAGTAGGTGCTTCAGATCTGGCCCAAGGTGGAGCTAGGGGCTGACCGGGGACTGGGGACTGTGGGAAGCCATGGGCAGACACGGGGGGTAAGGGGTGGGTGCTGATGGCAGGGAGGGGAGAGACCTGGCCTGTCCGAAGCCCTGCCTGTGCCCCTGGCCATCCTTCCTCTGGCTCAGACGGGTCCCGGGTCCTGTGCCAGCTCCTTGCTCTGCCTTCAGTCCGGGGATTTGAGGCGGGAAGGGCTTGTTGGGCAGCAGGGATTGTCTGGGCAGGAGTTCACTGGGGAGCCTGGACCCCGGCCTCAGCAGGCCCTGGGCTGGGGGTGGGCTGCCCTCTGAGGTCTGGCAGCCGGGCGGGACTCGTGGCCTGAGGCCCCTGTCTCCCTGCAGCGCCTCCACAGAGGCCGGGCTCCGGGACAAGATGGCAGCCAAGCAGCCCCCGCCCCTCATGAAGAAGCACAGCCAGACCGACCTCGTGAGCCGCCTGAAGACCCGCAAGATCCTCGGCGTGGGCGGCGAGGACGACGATGGGGAGGTGCACCGCTCGAAGGTGGGGTCTGCCTCCGGGGACCTGTCGGGGGGCAGGTCTGGCCCACCCATTGCGTTGCGAGAAGACGAGCTGAGACCCACAGCGCTGCAGGAGCACCGGGACTTAGCTCGTTTTCCTGGAAACGTAATGGAGATGTCAGGGGAATAATAACAAAACTGAAAACTGATAATTAGGTCTGCGTGCTTATTATATGCCTATTAGCGTGCCGCTGTCTTATAAGCATTGTTGAATCTTGCTAGTCCTGGAAGATGCAGAGGCAGGCATCAACCCATTGTAGAGATGAGGAAACTGAGGCTCAGAGAGGTTAGTGATTTGTCCACGGCCGCACCAGGAAGTGGCCGAGGAGCCAGGTTTCAAGCCCACGACTGGCAGACCCCCGAGCTTTCATTCCCAGCCACTGTCTTCAGCTTCCCTTAATCCCTGGTGTCAGGGAGGCAGTGAGGGGGCAGCCTCAGTGTGTCCTTTTCAGCTTGGGTGGCCATTGGGCTTCTGAGCATGCCAGGGGGAGAGGGGTTGAGTGGCCTGGGCACTGCCTCCCTTCCCCTCCACCCACCCCTGTATCCACCCTGTTGCCTCTGACCCCTCCCCTCTGTGTTCACAGATCAGCCAGGTCTTGGGCAATGAAATCAAGTTTGCTGTTCGGGAGCCTTTGGGACTGAGGTGAGCATCCCGTGTGTGTTATAGGGCGGAGCCGTGTAAGACCCCGTCTCATCAGCCTTGCCCCTCTGGTCTTGCCCTTGACTTCATTCCAGCTCATGCCCTCCCCTCAAACCAGCCATCCCTGGCACCTTGGCTGGAGAGGGGGCATCTGCTGGGGTCTGGGGTGGCGGCGAGGGGCTTGGCTGTAACCTTCCTATCGGTGCCTCCCCAGGGTCTGGCAGTTTGTTTCTGCTGTGCTCTTCTCTGGCATTGCCGTCATGGTGAGCCCCCGCCCCACCCGGAACCTGAGCCTCTGCTAGGGGCTCCTCCCTGCCCTGGGCCCCTGCTGCCCTCTCCTCACTCCATGGCCCCATCTGTGAAGGCTCGCTGGCTGCCTCCATGTCCTGGCTCCTGACACATCCCACCTGCGCCTGCCTGCCTGCCTGCCCCGGAGCATCCTGGATCTGTGGCCATGGTCCCGTCCTGGAATGAAGGGGTGGGGGGCAGTTAAGGTCCTGGCCCCAGACTGCCCCAGGGACCCTGGCCTACTTCCAGTAACCCCCCTGCCCCCTCCCCTGAGCCTCCCAACTGCTGTCCCCAGGCCCTGGCCTTCCCTGACCAGCTCTATGACGCAGTCTTCGATGGAGTTCAGGTGACCAGCAAGACCCCCATCCGCCTCTATGGGGGTGCGCTCCTCAGTGAGTATTGCTGGGGAGGACTTTGGGGGAGGTGATGGGAAGCTGGGGTCCCAGCTGGGATGGAGGGAAACATGGAGAGTCTTCCTCTGTGTGGATCTGTGCCTAGGCTTCCCTTCCCAGATCCCCACCTCCAGCTGATGTCTATCTCTGCTGGGTTTATGCTGCCATCTTGTGGCCACTGTAGAAAATGCACCTAGTGGATTGGGGCAGAGTCTGCCATCTTCTGGACAAGCACTTATTGAGCACTTGCCTGGTGGTGTGCCACCTGGGCACTGAGGTGCAGAGATGAAGGAGGCCAAGGCCCTGCCCTCCAGGGCCTCACAGCCTCGGGAAACTGACAAAATAAACACTGTGTCAGTTTGGCCTGGTAGAGGCTAAGTAGGTGGTTTTCCTGGGAATGTGGTCTGCCTACCCCCCACCTCCATTCCCACCCCCACTCCTGGGAACTCCTTAGCGAGAATCCTTCATGGGCTCAGGTGTTCTGTCTCTAGCAGTCCATTTGAAAAAAACAAATGTGATTATAGGACCAGGGAGCCCATCAATCCAGAATCATAATGGAACCTGACAGGGGCAGGGTACCTAGAGCTCAGGTCTCCCATTTTACAGATGGAAAGACCGAGTCCCAGTGAGGAGCTGTGACTTGCTCAATGTCCCCCAGTGTGATGAGTTTCAATTTGAGGAAATGCGTGAGGGCAGGAGATGTGGATGTGCACGATCCGGGCTCCCTGGCCATGTAGGGCCAAAGGGACAAAGAACCAGGCCCCTTGCCCCTTGTCCCAAATGGGTGGGTGGGTCAGGCCGTCCTGCCCCCACACCCTCTTTATCCCTGCCCAGGTATCTCTCTGATCATGTGGAACGCTCTCTACACGGCCGAGAAGGTTATCATTCGCTGGACTCTGCTCACCGAAGCCTGCTACTTCGGGGTCCAGTTCTTGGGTGAGTCCTGAGGCGGGCGGGCAGTGAGGGGAGGCTGCTTTGCCCCCGCCTCCCAGCTCATGCCACTTAGATTTCATGGAAGTGAAGGAAACCTGAGGAGGAGGCCCCCGTGCAGCTGTGTTTACCTGTGTGCATGCACACCTGTGCTCACACAGCAGACACCACCTACCTGCATCTTCTTCTTCTTTTTTTAAATACTTTTTAAAAAATCTATTTTATTGATTTTCCACAGAGAGGAAGGGACAGGGATAGAGAGCTAGAAACATCGATGAGAGAGAAACATCGACCAGCTGCCTCCTGCACCCTCCCCCCCCCAGGGGATATGCCCGCAACCAATGTACATACCCCTGATTGGAATCAAACCCGGGACCTTTCAGTCCTCAGACCGACACTCTATCCACTAAGCCAAACCGGTTTTGGCTACCTGCATCTTCTGAATACACACTCGGGCCCTCCACAGCCCCCGACACCTCGGCGCTGGGTGACAGCGTGCGCGCGCGCGCGCGCACGCACGCACACACACACACACACACACACACACACACACAGGCTTTGCCCACATGCACGCCTCAGTTCCTGCCACGTGGGGCACATCAGAACAGATGTGTCTGTGGGGTCAGACAGCTGGCAGGACCCCCGCCCAGCTCAGGGAGCCGCCTGCCGCCCTGTGGCGGGGTGAGGGCACAGCCCTCTGACCTCTGCTCCTTCTCCGGCCTTTCTCCCCCACAGTGGTCACTGCCACGCTCGCCGAGACCGGCCTCATGTCCCTGGGGATCCTGCTGCTCCTGGCCAGCCGCCTCCTGTTCGTCGCCATCAGCGTTTACTACTATTACCAAGTCGGCCGGAAACCCAAGAAAGTCTAGCTGACCACTGGGCGGGGGCCTTTCCGGGGCAAGGAGGCCCTGGTCCTCAGTTTCCCTTTGGTTCATGGAAGACAGGAAGGCCCTGCCTGCCCCGGGCGGACAGGACTGGCCACCCTCTTTCCTCCCGGGCTCTCCCCGAATGCTGTGATCAGGGCTTTCCGGTTTGAGGAGGGACGGGGCCTCTGCACCCCTGTTCTCTGCCCCACACCAGGACGCCTCTTTGCTTGGTCTCCAGATCCCCTGGACGGACAGAAGAGCCTGCATCATAGGGTATCGGGCTGAGGCGAGGCCCGCCCCTCTGCCTGGAGGCCCCTCCTTCTTCGGAGAGAGGCTGAGGGCTGTCTCCTTGTCCTCCCCCTCCACCCCCAGCCAATCCAGTGCCCAGGCAGCTGGAAAACCCAGAACGTGACCTTGTGCCCCTATGCCTTGTGCGGGGCCCCTCTCCACCCCTAAACACAGGCACCTGTCCCCGCCACAGCCCAGCCGCAGGCTGACGGGTGGGGGTGGCTGTCTTTGAGCTGGCATTTGCCCACCTCACAGGAAGGCCATGAGCAGCAGAGCCCTGTCCCGGCCACCAGGGGCTCTCCAGGCCCTCGATCCTGGCTGCTCTGCCTCCACCCCAGATCCTGGAGGCCCCTAGGAGCCCCCCTCGCCCCACTGGCCTGGGCCCAGAGGCTGCAGAGGCCTCACCCTCAGGCCGGCCTGACGTGGATGGGCAGATCCACCTGTCAGTGATGGGGCTTGGAGATGAGAAGAAAAGCCTTGGAACTTGGCATGTTCTCCAGGGTCTGATGCTCACCTGGCTTAGCTCCTCCCCTCCCCTTACCCCCTCCCCTTCCCAGCACCCTCCCCGGGATGCTGCCCTCTGGACCTCCAGCCTGGGCTGCCCCCAGGGTCTGGCAGGCTAGGACTGGGTGCCCTTCAAGCTCAGCTGGGGGAAAAGGTAGAGATATTTCAGCGGGCCACTTCCTTTCCTGTCCCTCCATGCCCCTAGCCCCCCGCCTCCCGTCCCGAAGATGCCCTGGAGACCCTGAACACCCCTGCAGACGCCCCCATCTCCACCCCAGCCTGTGTGTCCCCCAGTACTCCCCCCTCCCTCCCTCCCTCCCAGCACTGTCCTCTCCAGCCCTGAGTTCTGGGGATGGGTGTGGAGAGCAGTGACCCAGGCCCAGTCTCGCATTCTGTCTTGGAACAGAGTGTTTGGGGGTGAGATGGGGGTGTCCTTTAATGCAGCCCAGCTCTGGCTGCAGCTCCATGGACCTGTGTCTGAGCCTGCCCACGGGGGTCCCACACTGCTGTCCCTGGGCCCTGCTGTCCCTGCAGCCACATGCTAGTGTCCCCACAGCCGAGGAGAAAGGCCTGTCGGGTCGGGCCTGAGGCTGTGCTGCTGGTGTCCACGGCCACGCCGAAGGGACGGCAGACCTGAGGAAGGGCCAGCTCTTAACTGGCGTCCATCGCCTACCACGGTCCCCAGGGAGATCCCTAGGCAGGCTGCCCACTGCCCATGCTGCAGGTGGTGCTGGTGACTGGTGGGCAGTGCCCCAGACCCAGGCCAAGTCCTCCCTCTGGCCCATGCCTTTGAAGGCCTGGCATGTGTTCTGGCAGGGGGTGGTGGTTTGTCCAAATAACCGCTGGGCCCGGCAGGTAGACCCCTCCAGAGGCAGGCAGGGACGTGGGGGCATGGGCTCTGGAGTCGGGCTCTGTGTTGGGCATCAGATAGGGCTGAGCTGGCCAAGCCACTTCACTCTTAGCTGGGGGGTGGGGTGCAGGGCATGGGCTGCGATGAGGGCCTACCGGGTGGCACTGTCCAGGCTCTGCACAGGGCAGTGTTCCGGTATTACTTCCCGCTGCCTGGTTAAACATTCAGGAGGCCTGGAGGGTGGGGCTCTGGCAGGCAGGCAGGCAGAGTCCTTATTGGGGAGGAGATAGTGACAAAGGGGAGAGGGACATGGGGACTCACAGGTGTAGTGAGGAAGGCCCAGCTCCCATCCTAAGGATCTGGGAAGACCCAGAATGCCCCTTCCCGGTTCCCCCAGGTCCCCTGTGCCCCGCCCCACCCCACCCCACCCCAAATCAAGACCACCTCTCTTCACGGTCACTATTTATTCTTCGTTCCTTTTTCTTTTTGTAAGAAACGGTCACAAAAACCAGTGCAAAACCATCAGTGTGGGTGTTGTTTTTATATTACAAAACTCTCGATATATAATATAAAAAGGGGACTCACAGGAATAAACATGATAAATTAGCTCTGCTATCTACGGCGAGGAACACTGACCATTTCCAAAATAGACTTTCGACAGGGCCCACGGGGGAGGGAGAGGGGGCTTCTGCAGACGCAGGGTGCTGGGCCCTCAGCTCATTTGGGGGTATCCCGTCGGGCCCCTCGGACATGGATAGATAGGAGAGGGGCGAGGGAGGCTGAGGACGGGCCCCAGCCCCTAAGCTGTGTCCCTTCTCCCCGAGGCAGTAGTTCTGGAGCAGGGAGGGTGCTTGGCTCCCGTGTGAGGTCTTCCCTGACCTGCAGAGGCATTCCTACCTGCTGCCTCTTCCCCACCCCCCAGCCATCAGCTGCCACCAGCACCTGTTACGTATGGGCTGCACTGTAACCACATCTGGAGCCCAGGAGCGACCCCTTGGGGCAGAGCTTGCTTGCCCTGCAGGCAGCCTTGCAAACAGCTACCAGCCCGAGCAGATCCCGGGTTCCCTCCCAGCTTGGGGAAGTCAACAGGGTCCGATTCGGGGTTCCTTGGCACCTTTCTGGAAAGTCTGCACCTCCACCCACGAGCCTGCCTCAGCCAAGTGGTCCTCCAATTTGGCTGCCCTGCCTCTCAAATCGTATGGGCACGTCTCACCTTCACGGCCCAGATTCTCGCGGGCTGCCCCGGACCGGAGCCACGCAGCTGCCCAATGTGACCTCCAGTCCTGCCCAGGCAGCCTGGGGTGTTTCTTTCCTCCCCCCGCCCCCCCAACCTCAGACTGGACACCTGCCTTTCCCAGGAAGCTGTATAAGCGTGCAGGTGGATCTGGAGGGACAGGCCCCAGGCCCTTCTCAGGCTGGGCTGGGATGCCAGCTGTGTGGTCCCCCAATCCTGGGCTGCCCAGTTGCTAGGGAGCTCATGGCATCATGGAATGGTCAGGGCAGGTTGGTGCAGTGAAAGACCCAGGTGGAGAGGACGGGTGGGAGGGGGAAAGGCGGAGTAGGGAGGACGGCCTAACCAAATTGCTACAGCAGGCACAGAGCTCTGGCTGTAGCTCGGCAGGGGGCAGGTGGCAGGGCAGGGGAGCACTGGGCATCTGGCCACAGTCTCTCCCTCAGCAGTGGGAAAGCAGGGGAGGCTGGAAACTGGCACAGCACCTGCGGGACAGAAAGGGCTTGTCCCAGACCCTGAAGAGACAGTGGAGAGGAGGGGAAGGCAGGCACCATGCTCCCCTCCCCATTACGCATCGATGGCCCTCTCCCACCACACCCAGGCCGATCCTCAGACCCTCTGCACGGCCTCCACCAGCCACTCCTGCCTCCTCATCAGGGTGGAGGCCTCTTGCAATCTAGTTGCCAGCACTGTGCTAGAACTTGAGGTCTGTGTTCTGAAGGGCTGATCTGTGGGTGTTGGGTGAGTGTCCGTGAGCCTGTGGGAAAACCTCTTCCTGCCGGAGCCTGGAGGGAGCACTCAGACACGTGCAGTGGACGGAGACGGGGCAGGAAGTGACGTCACCGCAGAAATGATGAGATGCCCTGGAAATTCTTGAGCCTGGTGGTAACGGGGCGCAGGGGAAGACAGTGTGTGGCCTTAACCCTCAGGGTTACAAAATGGGCAGAACCACAGGGAAATGGAAGTCTGAAGTCAGCAGTACAGAGGCAGAGTGCTGTCCTGGGAGGTAGTGAGGTCCCCGTCCCTGGAGGTGTGCAAGGAGAGGGTGGCGATGTTGTAGCGGCAGGGATCTTACGGAAGATATCCAAGCTACAGTTCTGGGTGGGAGAGAAGAGCCGGATGGTCTCTGGGGCTCCTTCCAGCGCCGGGAGCCAGGGGGTTAATGGAGAACAGGGAAGGGATGGGCTTGTGAGCAGAGACAGGCAGCGTGGAAAAGGGACTCTGGTGTGTGCACGTGTGTGTTCCTGGGGGCTTAGAAGGTGGGGAGTTGGGAAGGCAATCGGCAGGGGGTGGTGGGGGGAAGAGTCCAGAACCATCCAGCTGCCCTGTCTCTTCTGGGGAAACCATGATGCTGGGGCCCGGGAGGGACGTGAGCAGCTCTGCCCGACCGAAGCTCTGGAGACCACTCAGTTCTTGTTCAGAAAGTCACGCATGCGCTGTGTGGCTGTGGGTGACAGCTCTGGTCCGCCCAGATGTTTGGTGCCACAGCTGGAGAAAGCGAGGACCCCGCCAGCTGGGCCATTCTTGGCTCCAGCATCCGCAGCCACTCTTGGCCCCAGCAGGAGCAGGGACCAGGCCATCAGCCGGACGGGGGACGGCGAGGAGGTGCCTCGTTCTCAAGGATGTTGCGACCCCACGTCCTTGGGCCCCTGGGCTCTTGGGGACCGCTCTCCCGGATTTGCTTTTGCCTCCTTGTTGCCCAAATCCTCACTTGCTTGGCAGCAGGTCCCGAGGCTGTGAGGGGAGGGTCCCAGGCCCGAGTCCAGGATTGTGGGAGGCCGGTGAGACCGAGGAGGGGGCCGGGCAGGTGTTCCTTTGGTCTCTGGTGCAGCCTGCGGCCTGGGTGCAGAGCCCACGCCCCACCCCGGAGTCCAGGCAGGGCGCGTCGGTCCATAAGTTCATTGTTTCGTTTTGTTCAAAAAATAGCTATTTTCCCCTTGCCCCTTCTCCTGGCCACTCATGATGGCCTCACCTCCTACCCCTGGACCCAGGGAGCAGGGGCGCGGGGGAGAGGAGGGTGTGGGTACTGAGCAGTGGTGGGCAGGGTGACTCCTCCGGCGTCCGGCCACGCCCTCTACTGGATGCCCCGGAACAGGCACATGGCGAAGATCATGGCGAAAAGCTGCACAGAAAGAATGCGTTGGCTCGTTAGGCTGGGCCTCCAGCCTCCCACGGGGCTGCCCACCCTGAACGGAAGGGGCTAACCCATGAGGTGGGGGAGGGGCGGGGGTCTGCCCCCAATCCCCTGTGTGCCTTGCTTCTGGGGAGGAGTCACAGGAGTGGGCCTTCACGTACCTCGATGGCCAGCACCCCGATGGCGAGGGCTCCGGCCAGGTAGACGTAGGTTTCGAAGGCGTTGAGGATCACTGTGTAACAGCCCTGCGGGGGAAGGACCAGAAGTGAATCCACAGCCCGAGGGATGGCCCCAGGGGTCAGGGGTCAGGGGTCAGGGCTGTGAAGCCGGGAAGCTGGCATGTGGCCCCAAAGCTCAGGCAGTGCTGTTGGCATGGAGCAAGGCTGCCATCCCTAAAGGCTGCCCGCCCACCCTCTGCACCCCTTTAAGCACATCCTGGCTGGCAGGAAGGGTCTGAGTGCAGAGTTGGGATGGGGGGGCGGGTTACCCCCTGCATCTCTGGGTGTCATTGCAAGACAATCCTTCCCCCTGTCTCTCCACACCCCTCCACCCCCCCGCCCCAGGGGACAGAAGCATACGTCCTTCCTGTGCATGAAGCTGACTTTGACACGCCTCACCCAGGGGGCCTTGTCCAGCAGAGAGGACACCCGCCCCTCTGCTGTGGGCAGTGCACCTGGGCCTTCACTGCTCATCTCCCCTCCATTTGGCTCAGCTCCAAGGCCCTTTGGGTCCCTGGACTGAACCAACTGGGCCGGCTAACTGAGGCCCCAGATACCGAGCAGCCGGAACGCCCTCATGGCCCCCATCCCCCAGTGAGAACTGGGTGTGGGTTTCCATTGCTCTTCCATCATCCTCAGCACGAACCTGCTGGCCCTGCAGAGCGTGGCCCTCCTGAGGCCCTCACCTGGAGCTAGACTTGCCCTCTTCACCTGGCTCCAGCCCTTCTCTTGGGTCCTGGAACAGACCATACCCCCTCCCACCCCAGGGCCTTTGCACGTGCAGCTGCATTGCTTTTCTTTTCCCAAGAGGATGAGGGGGGCAGCACTCTGTTTCATGGACAGTTACAGAGCACCCACCCTCACAGCCCTCCACAGAGCAGATGGGGACCGTGGGGATGAAGCAGATGGGGACCGTGGTGCTATGGGGAGAGAAGACCTAAGGTCACCTGGACGAAGGGAGAGTGTGGATGGTTTCCTGTTGGTGGCCACCTCACTGGCCCAGAATCAAGGTCTAGCAAGGTCGCCACCTACTGGGGACCCTCTGACTTGTTTCCAGCAGAACACACTCTTGACTCTTGGGACAGCTGAGGCATGAGCTGGGGAAGCTGTCACAAGGGTTCGAATCATATCAGTGGAGGAGTCCAAGTATCCATCCTGGGGCACCTTTTTGGGGGATTTTCTGACTTCCCTTCACTGGAATTCTACGGTAGACAGGGTTGGTGGACTAACTCTACATCCATAGGCAGGTGCCCTCGGCCTTGGCTTTTGGTGGCCACGTGACCAAGCCCTAAGCAGAAGTCGCCAGGAGGTTTCCGGGAAAGAAGCCGGTGCCACCCTTTCCCCTTCTCCTGCCTGGAATGTGGGTAGGTGTCTGGAGCCATGGCCGCCATTTGCCATCATGGAGTGGCGAACACAAGGAAAGGCCACAGAAGTCAGAGACCAGGCCTTGACGGACATGGCAGAGCCCCTGACGCGATGTGAGAAGCCGCCGTTTCCCGGAACACTTTCCACGTGTGACACACGAAGGGACATGCTTAGCCCCTTCAGTTGGGTTTCATTGTTTGCAACAGAACATGTTGCTGGCAACTGACATGGGCTCTCAAGTCATTCCAAGTCAGAAATGCACCCTGGGCCTCAGGGAAGTAGGTTTAGTAGGAAAAGACAAGCAGACAGTCCTTGGCAGAGGCTTTTAAAAGGGGAGGATGCTTAGGAGGGACGTGAGTGTCCCGGAAAAGGAGTCCCAGGAGTTAGTCTCGGTCACCCCCGAGAGCCAGGGGAAGCGTCGTCCTGAAGAACTAAAATAGCTGCTCAGGGCCCTCTGTGGAGCCTCCGACACCAAAGCCAGGCCCAGGAGAGGGACGGAGGCAGCATCAGCGTTTGAGTCAGAAATGGGAAGCATGTCAGGGGGAGGCCCTCAGGACCAGGGCCTATGCAGCTATGAGATGTCTGTCACCATAGCTGCATCAGACAGGAGGAGGGGTTGCGAGGAAAGGCAGGCACAGTGCTTTCCCTTAAGGATGTTACCCAGTGACCCAAATCACATATGCTTACCTCCCTTTGGCTAGAAGTTGGTCACATGACCTAGCTGCAAGAGAGGCTGGGAAGAGCAGCCTTTTCCTGGTGGTCATGGGGTCTTATAAAGCCCCCTTTTCCAAAGAGGAAGGGGCGAATGGAATGTGGAGGCAGCTAGCTGTCACTGCCACTGTACAGGGGACCTGAGGTCCAGAGAGAGTGTCCTGGTGACATAGGGGTTAACAGCCAGGCCAGCTGACAGCACAGCCTGGAACTGGCCCCATGTCCTGCAGCCTGTCCTCACAGCAGAGACCCAACCCTGGGTGGCCCACTCGCCCCAATTCAGCAGTGACCTCATCCCAGCGCCCTCGACTCTTTCTTGCTGTCTCTCTCCTGCAGTGCAGGAGGCAGGACTGTGTGTGTGTGAGGGGGGGGGGCAGAGGAACTTGCTTTGGGGGCCTTGTGTACCCTTAGACATGACCTGGGCAGGCGCAGGGGATGGCGGTGCTGAGTTGGGGAGACAAGGCTGAGGCTGTCAAGAGACTCACCAGATGGCCAGTGTCAGGCCTCAGCTCAGCTGTCCCATCCCTAGGGACTCCAAGAGGCCTGCCTTGAGCCCTTTCCCTGGTCCCTTCTAGCCCATCATCTGGTTTTACTTCCTCTTTAGTGGTGGTTGCCACGTGAAATGATCACCTTCGGTTTATTTGCTTCTTGTTTATCATCTGCACCCCCACACTCAGCCCTGAGCCCCACGGGAACAGGGGCCTGTCTCCTGTCCCCTGGGGGTCCGTGCATCTGGAACTCTCCCATAAAGCTCTCATTAAAGAGGCATGGATCCACCTCGTTCTCTCCTCTCTCTCTGTCTCACATACACACCGAGGGGCTGGGGGGCTGGTCACGGGGAAGCCTGTGCCACAGGATGGGGAAGGGATTCTTCGGAGACTGAGATGAAGTTCTGGGGTGGCATGAAGTCCAGGAGATTCTCTGATTCTGCTCCCTTGGAGCCAGGACGAGCCCCCCCCTCCCCCCCACCAATGGCAAATGTGAGCTTCCCCCAAAACAGAGTCCATGACCAAGGAGGGGGCCCCCACTGTGTGATTCTAGTTCTGGCTCCCAACCTACATTATAAGAAGCTCAAGGCGTGTTCCGCCCGGAACACTGGAAAACTCCTACTCACCCTTCAACCCCAGCCAAAAGGCCCACTCCCCTGGCCCGTGCCATCACCGAGCCATCGGCCACCATCGTTCTTTCCCCTTTGGCTGGATATCAGGAGCCCGGATGAAGCTCTGTTAGCCTCCATTAAGTCCCATGTCCCGTCAATAGCCCACGGGATCCTGGAGAGCCTCCAGACCCTCTGGGATGATACTGCCATTCACCACCCGCCAGCTCTGGCCCCTGTGTCCCAGGCCCGGGGAGCGGGCCTGTACCTGCTTGTTCAGGAACAGGTCCCTTCCCAGGAGGCAGTCCTCCCTGCTCAGCAGGAGCCCATCGCGAGTCTGCGGCTCCCTCCGGCAGCAGGCCTCGGGGACCTCCTCGCTGTCCAACGTCAGGAGTCGGAAAATGGGTGCAAACTTGAAGTCTTCAGGCCCGTTGACCCCACAGCAACCAAACTGGGAGGAGAGCAAAAGAAGGGTCTCATGAGCGGGAGCTAGGCCTGCGGGGCCGAGCGGGACAGACAGGCCACAGTGAGGAAACGTGATGGAATGGCGTCGAGACCCGGGTGGGGGACCCTGGGAAAGTCCCTCAGCCTCTCTGAGCCCCCCGGGTCCTCACTGTAAAGTGGGGGCAGTGGTGACAATCCCTGCCTCACCAGGCGCCTAGTCAGCGCTCAATAAACCGTTGCCGCTTATCGATTGCTATCATTGATGACAATGACAGTTGCGTGGGGATTCCAGTCAGAGATGGCAGACAGGCCTCATTCAGAGTGTGGGCTGTGATCGAGGGAGGGGTTCCTGGGCATGCTGTGTGGACGCAATGCCGAGGCGGGCGGGTCTCGGTGGGGTTGGGAGGCAGCGCCCTGGTTGGTCATTGGCACGAGCAGAGGGGTCTCTGGCGGCCAGACATTTGCAACTCTGGGCATCACGGCCCCTGGGTATGTGTGGGGGGTCACTCACTGTGATCATGACCGAGTTCCAGGTGGCAGAGAAGACGTCTGTGTCGTTGTTGCCCTGATAATGCTTGGTGAGCTCCTTGGTGAAGAATTCCCGGGTGAGCTGGAGGCAGAGGGAGAGGGTGGGCTGAGACCTGGCAGCTGGGTGCTGCCCCACCCCTTCTGGCCTTTCCATCTGTCAGCTTCGGGGAAAAGGAGGGAAGCCAGGGTCCTGGTGCCAGGCTCCTGGCATTCTCCTAAGCTTGGGACGAGTCCCTTAAACCCCACCTCAAGGCCTGTGGCCTCTAGCCATCATGAGATCCCTCCCATGAAAAGTCCACACACATCGCTCAGTGACCCCCGAGGCCAGGGCACCCTGGGAACCGCACTCTGCCCTGCAGCTCTCCTCAGAGGAGGCTAACACAGGGCAGGGGGCTTGCCCTCACCCCCCTCAACCCTGAGCTGTTCCTCCGACAGAGCTAAGCGGATGCCTGGGTCCCAGGCCTGGAAGAAGCCACAGCATGGAGCGGGTAGCGCTTTGCACATCTATTTCCAGGCATGTCCCCCGAAGCCTCCTTCCCTCAGAATACTCTCCAGAGGTCTAACCTAGAGGGACACCCGCTGGTCACTATACTGGGTACAGGCTGCTGCCTCCTCCCCTCTGGAACAGCTCCCCTGCTCACCACCCAGGCCCGCTTGGGTTTCCTGCCCTCTCCCTTCCCCTCTTCTCTCTGCTTCCTGGCCACCTGTGATGGGGGCATGGCTCTTGTAGACTCAGGAGGGAGCTGGTGCCGGTGCTGGAGCCCCTGGAGTAAGATGGCCCGTGGGGCAGGTGGCCCAAACTGGGTCCTGGCCAGCGCCTCAACGAATGGTGCTCGGCCCCTTCTGTGTGTCACATATTCCGGGCTCAGGGGACCGCCTCCCTGACTGTCCCCACACTGTCACATGACTACGGCCGTGCCATCACCTGGCAAGGTGTGGATGGAAGATTCCAGAACCAGGTGTGTGATTGCACCAGATGTTTTTGGAAGAGCGAAACCCAGAAGGGACCCTGACGCCAACTGGCTGGAAAAGCCCTCTAAGGAAGATGCTGGCTGGGTCACAATTTGGGCTGGGAGTGCTGATGTCTCTGTGTGACCCCAGGATGGGACAGGCTGGCCGTGACAGCTGCTGACCCCTGGCTGGGAGCAGGGAGCCAGGGCGTGGGGCCCAGTACGTACGTTTTCCCTGAAGATGAAGGCCAGGATGGCCGCCGAGAGCTCCGCCAAGAAGATGATCAGGATGAACAAGAAGAACTGCAAGATGAAGGGAAGGCTGCTGAATCCTGAGGCTGGTGGCCAGGGACCCCAGCTCACACTCACCCTCACCCTCACGGATGCCCCTTTCCACCCGTCACAAAGCTGGCACAATGCACCGATTTTGCAAAAACAAAGCAGATGTTTTTTCATAATAAACATACTGGCCTTTGGAGTCAATAAGGCTGCAATGCAAATATGGGAAAAGTAAACAGACAAGTCTTCCGGGCACATGGCCCCGAGCCGAGGCCCCTTGCCCGGTGTTCAGTCGGAACTGCCTGCCTGGCAGCCCTGGAAGAAGGAGGATGCTGAACTCCAGGCTCAGGGACCCTGGCGCTCCCCAGCCTCAGCCCAGCCCCAGTCCCATTCTGGCCGCAGGGAGTGGGGAGGAGATGTGGGTCGTCAGCTGCAGTGAAGGAGTAAGACTGAGGGAAGGCGGGGGTGTCTATCAAACGTGAAATCCCAGGAGCCAGAGTCTGAAACCTAACGGAACCCGCTCTGCTCCATTCACTGCCTCTCCTGATGCTCCCGAGTCAACCAGGGGGCCTCTCGTCTCGTGGTCCCCTCTGCCGGGAAGGCACGTCCTTCCTCAGTCACCAGCTCCTTGTTTGCCAGCGCAGGTGCTCTCCTGCGGCTCTCCCACCCCATCACAGAGCCCCGCAGAGATGTACCCATCACAGCCGCTGTGGCCCCACTAGTCCCCTATTAAGTGCGGAGGCTATAGCTCAGCATGCTTCCCCAGGCCCGGACAGCACGGATCCCGGCTCATGGCTGTCAGATGAAGGAATGAAGCCAGGAGTGACCGACTCGCCATCAGGACCTTGCTGTCCACTCCCTCTCAGGCCCTGGCCCTCCTGGGCCCTGCTTTGAGCTGAGAGCTGTCGGCAGAGAAAGGAAGTGGCTGGGCCTTCACTACCTAGCACTGGCGCCGTTGGCATACGTGGCCTGTGACACTGATAAGAGTTGTCACCCCACCTGCGACCACCAGCAGAGGACTGAGTCCCTGGTGCACAGCCTCCCGGCCGCTTCGGCCAGCTACCTGAGACCTACTCCCCTGGGTCACGGTCCCAGACGCCAGGCCACTCTGGATGTGCTCAGGCTGGAAGGACACAAAGGGTCCGGGGCTTAGTGTCCGGACACCCTCTGCCCGCCCTGCCATGCTCTGTGTGACGTGGGACAATCACTCAAACCCCTTCCAGCCTCAGCTTCCTTGTCAGAGAAATAGGGGCGTAACACCCCCTTCGGAGCCCACCTGGGGAACAAGGAAGTGATGGACGTGAAGTGTCCTTAAGTCATAAGAGAGGCTCTCACGGGAACAGGAGGGAAACTGCTCCCCAAGCCCCAGTGCCTGAGCCCTAGTGCCCAGCTTCACGGACACTTGTGGGGCCACTGGGGCGCCCTCGGTGTCTCTCTCCTGGATCGTGTTCCTTCGGACAGAAGCAGCTTTCGGCCACTTTATCCTCATCCCGGGAAGACCCCAGTCACGTCCCCTCCTTGACTTTGCAGCTTGCACAGGCTGCCCCAGAAGATCCTGAGGTTCTTCCCGATTGCTTGGGCTTCACACCACCTTCGGGGAGCCCCTGGGATGGATTTCAAAATGACCCGCTGGGGATGTGGCCGTGAACACGTCCCCTAGACCCGTCAGACAGTCTGGTCTGGTCTCTTAAAGGCCCATGCTCCAGAAGAACCCCTGGCTCAGACAGACCAGCCAGCACAGAGCTCCTCCCACACTATGCTCTTTGGCGGCAGGAGTCTCGCCAGGTTTAAGCTGCCTCCAGCCTGGGCTCTGTACCCCCTCTCCCCCGTCTCTTTTCTGTTTAGCCCCCCACTTCCCCAGGGGAGAAAACAAGCCGGGGAAGGGAATGACTGCCCCAAGGTGAGCAGCTCAAAAATCTCAGAGCAAATCCTTCGTCTTAACCCAGCTCGTTTCCCAGTGCCACGCTGCCTCGCTGCCTTGTCTCTTTGCCGAGCCCTGGGGTTCTGCTCCCCATTGGCCAGCCTTGCTGGGGCCAGCTCTGTGGGGGACCCTGGGCTGAGCTGGGGGTTGGGCAGAGATCCCCAACCCGGGGGCCTATGACAGAGGGCTTCCTATGCTCCGGGCCACAGCACCTGCAGTCCATTCCAGCACCCCTGGCCCCGCCCCCACGCACTGGATGGCCCCCGGGTGAGCCAAGTGATGTGTTCTCCACTTCTGTGGCCTCTCTTCCCCCCGACAGTGATGGAGGCCACTGGCAGGGCTCCTGGCACTTCCATTTTGCTGGTGATGGATGGCCATCCTGTGGTTCCCCACGGCCTCCACGGAGCCCCTCCCTGCCTGGGCCCTCCCGGTGGAGTTGCTGGCAGTCCGCAGGCTGGCCAAGTGTGGCCTCAAAGTGGCCTCCACCTCAGTGATCGATCTCCGTAGCTTAGACGGCTATAAACTATGAATGAGGCCGAGCTCCAACCTTGCACTCGGCGAGCGCATCTCCCGGGGAGTGTGTGCAGACCAGGATGACTCTGCACAGCTCCAGCGAGACGAGGCAGCAGCGGAGCCCGTGCCCAAGGCCAGTGCGATGTGAGGGCTGCTCAGCGGGTGGCGCTGAACCCAGAGGAAGCAGGGCCTGCCTGAAGGCGAGGGCTGGCATGGTGATCTCTGGAAAAGCAACGCCAGCTGCTGTCCGCCGAGCGCTTACGACCAAGGCGCTGGGGATCTCACGTGGGTCCCTTCACGGAACCCCCTGGGCAGCCTGCAGAGGCCGCTGCCGTTACCCACAGCCCAGTGTGCTGATGGGGAAACTGGGACCCGAGGGGGCAGCAGGCTCAGCACGGAGGCTGCATACCTGGGGTAAACATGGGTTTCTGGTTCCAGAACACAGCCTCTCAACACCACGTCATCCTGGAGGACACCAGAGCCTCTAGGGCTTCAGGCTTTCCAACAGCCTGCGGGGTCCCTTGTGGATCAACACTGGTCCCTTTGGCTTCCCTTGTATCACGTGTCCCCATGGGCCAGAACAGAGCAACGCCGGAGATGGGGAGGAGGAATTACTAACTTCGTTTCAGATAGAAGGAATCTGAGGTGCGGTAACCAGCCTCAGGTCACCTGAACAGGAAGTGGCAGAGCAGGGGTCAGAGCCGGGCTCTTACCACATCCCCGGCACAGCCTTCTCTCTGTCTATCCCAGGGCTGTTGACTCGGTGCCAGGTGCTGTGCTAGGTGCTGGCAAACAAACACATACGAGGCAGACAGTCCTCATCCTCATGGAGTTGACATTGAGCCGAGTTTCATCATTCAGGAAATGAAGTTCATGAGGTGACATTAAAGGATGAACCCAGTAAGGCACTGATGGGGAGAGTGGGCCTCTGCAGAGAAAGGGGGTCTGCAGACCTGCCTGCCATTGCTCCCCACCTGGGGCAGGGCTCCCCAAATATGGGGACCATGGGGGGCCTTGAGTGTGGGGAAGTGTGAGTCACCTGAAGAAAAGTGCCCGCTGTGCCAACATCACAACAATGCCACTCCCCCGGCTCGCCTTCTCCAGCCCGAGGCCATTTCCTCCTCCTCCTTGACGAGGTCACCACTGGTCATGTGGAGGGGATCCCCCTTGGCCACAGGGCTTATCCTGATACTTCCTTGGCCACAGGGCTTATCCTGATACTTCCTGGGGCGTCCCCAAGTCGGGGCTTTCCCAGGATTCCTTCTCCTTGGGTTCATCTAACCTCAGTCCACCTGCCTACGGACACACGTGCCAGTGGTTCCCAAGCATCGGATTGACAACACTTGGCCCAGGATGGGAACGCTAACAAAGGGAAGGGGTTGGGACTGCTATTTTGCCTACTGGTGAGTATTTCCAGACTCCTCCAGCCCATCTGCTTACAGGCACATCAGCTTTCAGTTCTCTCTCCTAATAAATATTTACCAAATTTATGTACTTCATGTGCCATTCAGCTCATCTATCTCTTTCAAACACACACACACACACACGTCTCTTTTTGCTGTTCTCTTTTCCCATTTAGCTTGACTTTGTTATAATTTTAAAAAAAAAAATCAGAATCAAATAAATGGGCCAAAAAAATTCCTCTTCAGAGGTAAGCAACCAGGGAAAAAGGATGCCACAGCGTATCAATAACAGGCGGAAACTGACCCACTGTGTGTGAAAATGCTGTAACACTGACCCACGGGAGTGTTTGAAAAAATGTACCCATGACTATTCAGTGATGGGGCCATTGGGCCCACTGGCCTGGGCTCAGGGTCACTGGGACCCTGAGGTTCCAGCCTCAGAGGAGGGGGCGGGATGCTCAGCTAAGCCCCGCCCCCATCCCTTTTCTCACAGGCCTTTGAGCCAGGGTTCTGGAGGAGCCTCCAGTGCTCCTTGGCCCCTTTCAAGACAAGTCTTCCCTCCCTCCCAGCAGCCTGAGGGAGGGGTCTCAGGCTTCCCTAAGGGGTGGACCCCACATGGGCAGGCCCAGCTTTAAAAGAGGAAGTGGCCCTTTTTATTTTTTAGGTCATGAGTCTTTTTGAAAACCTTCTAGAAGCTGTGGTGCCTCATCCCAGAACTTGCATGCGTACACTATACACACACACACATACACAGCACACATGCACAGGCACACACACACACACACACACACACAGGCCCTGACATAATATTTTACATATATCTTCAGGTGAGTTTTTAACCACTTGAGTCCATGCCAAGGTAAGAGCCCCTCAGCCCTGGTCTGAGAGGAGACCTGGGCCCCTGGGTCCCCTGGCTTTGACCTTCCCTGTGACCTCCAGCTTGTGTGTGCCGGGCATCAGAAGGGGGCAAGGAGAAGAGGAAATGGGAGGTGGGGAGAGAGGAGAGGAGAGGAGAGGAGGGGAGGAGAAGGGACCCAGCTAGGGGAAGTAAAGAGAAAGGGGGAAAGAGACAGGACAGAAGCAAGGAGCAATCAGGGGAGAGGTAGGAAAGGCAGTAGAAATAGAAACCAAGAAATGGAGAGAGGGTAGAGAGAGAGAGAGAGAGAAGCAGAGAAAGAGCGAGCAAAGAAGGAGCAACAGAGATGAGACTGAGGAGAGACAAAAGGGAGGAATAAAGGCAATAGAAGAAAGGAGTGGGAAGGGGGGCTACTTTGAGGGTCGGTGGGCTGGACTGAGCCATGCCAGGACTTCATTCTCTCTCGGGGCAAACTTCATTTTGGGCCTTGGTCTCCTAGGAACTGAGACGGCCAGTCCAGATGCCAGGCTCAGAGGGAGCTCGCTGCCTCCCCAGCCCCGAGCCTGGCTTGGCTTCAGAAATGAGCCCATTAACAATGATGTGCCCTGGAAGGGCGGTTCAGGGTGTCCTGGGACCAGTACCCAGCTCCCTTTCAAGTCCTGGGAGCTCCCCAAGTCCAGATTTCCCCCGCACCATCCGACACTGCAGAGAGTTTTCCACCAGGGGGCGCCCACGGGCTTCTTTGTTTCTCTCCCAATGAAAAGTTTGCAGTGTGTATGAGACTGAAGGCCAAAGGAACCCAAGGCTTCAGTGTCACGCATTTCACAGCTGATTTCATGTTGTCTCTGAGACGTGGGCCTCTCAGAGTGACAGTGGGGGCCAGAGAGTGAGTCCTAGTCTGTGGAGGAGGCACTGTGCCAGGTCTCTGCCACTCAGAGTGCGGGCAGGAGCAGCCAGAGCCTTGCAAGGAAGTCCTCCTGGTGACTCGCCAGGACCTTCCTATGGCTTCACTCCCCACCACCCACTCGCCATCCACACACCCTTCTCTATGCAGGGTTGCTTTTCACTGAACCCACAGCAGGGCTGGGCTCACCTCACAAGTTCTCCTAGCCAAGGTGGGGGGGGGGGCTCACAGGACCCCGCAGCAGGGAGAGGACCCACCCACCAAGTCCAGGAAGGTGAGCAGAAGCCCAAAGAACCACAGCTCAAGGGACTACCACAGACATCTACCCTTTCTCTTATTTGGCTACCACCGACAGCTGAGCTGGTAGGCTCCTTGCTCACTTAACAAGCAGAGTCTGAGGCTCAGAGAGGTTCAGAAACTAGATGAGAACTATCGATACATCCTTCGTTAGGGGGCAGAGCAGGGTGCACACTCCAACCAGGTCTGCCTGCTGCCCGGCCCATCCTTATGGGACCAACGCCTCCTCGTGCCCACGAGGGAGGGACAGCCACTCTTGGCCCTCATGCATGAACTATGTGGCCCATAGGAACAGCCCAAGGACTATTTACTTAATAAAGTAAAGAGGAAGCTGATGAGGCCATATCATTTCTGTCTTAGAACTGGAAATGCAAACGGTGATTCACCCCATAGCTGTCTTAGCTCTTGTACCAAGGACAGGATTACCTATTGAAGTTCTTAAAAGCAAGCAAATAGATAACATTCTCTGTTGACAATGCCATGGAGGAGCCTGGCTGTTTGGGCCTGCAGGTTGAGGCCCCTCTCCACTTGGAGGCAGCTTGCCCACACAGCCCACATGGCCCAGCACAGAGTGAGATCTGGAAGCTGGGGCTGCAAGGCCACATGGGAAAGACTCCGGGAGAATGGCCTGCGTGGCCCTGACCTCAGGGTGAGTCCCTGCAGCGCAGGCTCAGGGCCCCGTGGTGGGCAGTGGGGGGCGGTGGTACTCACAAACAGCAGCAGACACTTGTTCTCCCGGATGGCCCCGCAGCAGCCCAGGAAGCCGAGCAGGAACAGCAGCCCCCCCATCGCCAGCAGGATGTAGACGCCCGTGATAAGCAAGGGGTTGGCGGCCACGATCTCTCGGAAGCCGGTGGGATCCACCATGACCCAGATGCCGATGCCCAGCAGACAGGCCCCGCCCAGCTGCTCACAGGGCAGTCAGGAGGGAGGGAGGGGGAGAAACAGAAGAACAGAGCTCATTTGCTGCAGGGGCCAGTATCCCAGCACTGCTGGTCCCTGCTCCGCATCTTCCTACTTACTCTGGCTTGGTCTAAGCCCATCCTCTGCCCAGCCCCACCTCGGCCTGCTGAGAACCATGTGTGTGGAGTTGAATTGCTACTTTTAAATTCCCTTTCAGCTGCAGGATAAGGAGGTCACCTAGACCAACCCTCAGATTCCACACTGAGCCCCACAGGGAGCCAACACTTGATGACGGTAACACACAGTTTTGAGAGCCCTGGCCTCCCTGACTCCAGCCCCAAGGACACTCACCAAACTCCCGGAACATGCACTGACACCTACACTGTGCCTGCGCCCTGCCAGGGATAGGCAAACACAGACAGAAGCCATTCCTTCTGCGCCCCCCGCCCCCTATCAGGTTGGGCTCCCCACTCTCCAATCTGCACCCGGAAAGCCTTCGTGTCCATGTCTTCGGCTGCATGGCCCATCTCTCCATGCCTTACTCATCTCTGGAGAAGAGGCAGCATAGCTCAGAGAAAGGGCTGTGGCACTTCTTAGCTGTGTGGCCTTGGGTAAGTGGCTTAACCTCTCTGAAGGTCAGCTTCCTCGTGGTTCAGAAAAAGATAGTAATCCCCGTCTCCCAAGGAAGAAAGACAGGATGGATATACATGTACTTAGCACGTTTCAATAAATATCCATTCCATTTGTCCTGGGCACAGAGTATTGGAAACGGATCAGCTGCAGGAGAGCCAGCTTGGCATTGTTGGGTTTTTGAAGGCTGTACAGTGTCTGAAATCCCTGTGTGGTGCGGGGGCCTGAAGCATGAGTGACAGATGGTGGTAGGAGCAAACTGCCGAGCTCTGGCTTGGCTGAGCGGGGTCTGCAAGCTGCGGGGAAGCGCTGCACAGTTTGGGGCAAGAGATGATATTTTAGGTACAGTTAGGGCTGGGGTGGGGTGGAGGGGCTGGAGGCACCCAGCAGTGGGAAGAGAGAGGAAGGCAAAACCGGCAATTCTGCCTCTGTCAGTGGTTTTGACCAGCTTCCAGTAGGACCTGCTGGTGGAGGGGTGGGGTCTGCCCCCTGAGTGCTGAGGTCCGCTGCAAGGAGGGCTTGATCACAGACTGAGCTGCCCAGGTGACTCCGCCCACATCAGCTGGAGACCCTGGGGCTGGCCGGAGGTCCCTTAGCTTAGAAACTGGGTCTAAAACTCAAGACTGTCGGGCTTCCTGCTCTTCAGAATAGTGGGGCAGGGGAGAGAACCCAGGACGGTTGCTGAGAGGTATAAAAAATGGACGGAGAGCCAGACACAGCCGGCCTTACCAGAAAGGGGCCTCTTTTTCATAGTGGCTTCCCCTCGAGGACACTGGTGGACCTTGCATCAACCAGGTCTTGGCTGCACTAAGATCAAAGGCTCAAGGGGGTCAGGAAAGCCTGCAGGGGCCCACGATGCTGGGGGCATGGCTCTCTCCTGGGAAAGGCCAGGGACCTGAGCAGATCCTTGGGGGCTGCCAGCAGGTGGGCAGTGCTGCGGCCAGCTGAGCACTGGGGGCTCTGTCCGTCATAGGTGGGACAGGGTGGGGCTCAGCTATTGAGTGCTGACGCATGGCAGGCACTTCCTCATCTTGCTTAATTTTTAAAAATACCTGTTGAGGTGGGTAATGAAGGGATGAAAATACTGAGGTTCAGAGAGGTGAAGTGTGTTTCAAATCACCTAGCTTAGTGGTCGGCAAACTCATTAGTCAACAGAGCCAAATATCAACAGTACGATTGAAATTTGAGAACCAAATTTTTTAAACTTAAACTTCTAAAGCCACTTCTTCAAAATAGACTCGCCCAGGCCATGGTAGTTTGTGGAAGAGCCATACTCAAGGGGCCAAAGAGCAGCATGTGGCTCGCTTATCATAGCTGATACGATGCTAAGCTTGGCTTGGAATCTCGGCCTCCCAGTTCTGGAGAGGTTTCTAATTCCATCAGGCTGCCCTCCAGCTGACGTCTGTAATGCTCTGGAGGTCGGGCTAGGTGAGGTTCCCTCTGCTGTCCTCTGATCACCCATCTCCTCCTTTCCCCAAACTCATCAGGGCTCAGATCCCAAGACAGTGGCCAGGACCGAGGCCCTCACTCTTTGTCAGAGGAGCCGGACCATCCCGGGCCCACTAACAATATCCCTCCTAGGATGGTGGGCTTTCTGGAGTGGGGTGGGCATGGCCAGGGACTCCCATCCCAAGCAGGTCTGGGCAGCAGACCTGCTTCTCGCGCTGGCCCCTGTGCCCGTCCTGGGACTCGGCCCAATGTGACTATTTCCCAGCAGCAGTTAGTTCTGCCAGCTCCGCTGAGGCCTAGGGAGACCCTGGGCATGTCCCAGGAGTACTTACAAATATGAAGAAATTGAAAATGAACATCAGGTACTTCATGCAGCTCAGACAGTCACCTTCCATGGCTCCACCTGCAAAACAGCAGGGCTCCTCAGGCTCCCATGGGCAGCTCTGCCCCTCCTTCCTCCCCGCTGCCTGGCCACCAGGCGGCCCCTCTACCTGCCCCTCCAGACCCCAACCGGCTGCATTAGCTGTTGTTCCCTGTCAGGAGTGGTAAGGACTCTGATGTGGAGGATTTCTGAGCGGAAAGATGAGGTGTGCAGTGGTTCTCAAACTGGTTCCCTGCAACTAACGATATCCTAAAGCTATTTTTAATATATATATATATATATATATATATATATATATATATATATATATATATTTTTTTTTTTTTTTTAATTTAAATTTTTTATAGAGAGGAAAGGAGAGGGATAGAAAGTTAGAAACATCGATGAGAGAGAAACACTGATCAGTGCCTCCTGCACACTCCCTATTGGGGATGTGCCCGCAACCAAGGTACATGCCCTTGACCAGAATTGAACCTGGGACCCTTGAGTCCACAGGCTGACGCTCTATCCACTGAGCCAAACCGGTCAGGGCTCCTAAAGCTCTTCTTCATCAAAGAAGTTGTTGGTTATAAAATGTCAAGGCAGCACTAATGTGTTCCAACACCCTCACACTGGAAATGAGAAAACTGAGGCTGAGAAAGGGAAAGGGGGTTTGGCCAAGTTCCCAAACCAACAACTGGAGGATCTGGGATGGAAGCTCCGTTTCCTGAAGCCCAGGCCAGTGCCCATGAACACACTACAGACCCAACGTTTTACTTATTGATTTTGGTAGCACACATCTCCCATTGTTAGAATGCACACTCCGTAAAGGCCCGGACCTGTTATTGCCACATTCCCAGTGCCCCGAGCAGCGCCTGGCACATGGCAGGTCCGTGGTTAATATGTCTGAATGAATGAATGAATGAATGAATGAATGGTGGGAAGAGAGAACAGAGATAGAGGAACAACGGTCAGCAAATCAAAGACATAGATCAAGACAGGTCAGCAAGAGAGAGAGGAAGATGGAGTACGACAGAGAAAGAGCGAGAGAGCAGGAAGTCATACAGGAGGAGACAGATGGGCTGAAAGCGTGGCGAGGAGAGGGGCACAGCGTGAGGGGGAGGCAGCTGCTGGCTTATCACCTGGGCAGTTCTTCCGGCGTCAGCAGAACAGTGTCTCCGGTCAGAGGGGCTGCTGTCTAGCTCTGTTATTGGCCCAGCTTGTCCTATAAGGGAACATATTCAATTACTATAGGAGGTCATTAAGGAACAGCCATGTTCAAGGAGCTGTTTATGAAAAACCACCCTTTGGACACACACTCAGGCAAGTGCCTCGCTCCTCCAGGCCCATTAAGGCTAATGAAAAGCCCTCAGCACCTGGGCCCCTCCGGCTGCAGAGGCTGGCAGGATGGCCGGCGGGGATGCCCTCCCTCTGCCCAGATGGCAGCTCTAGGTGCCCCTGCTGGGGCTGCGGGGGGAACATTTTCAAAAGGCTTGAAATTTCTGGCATGGCCTCATCTACGCTGCCACCCTGCATGTGGCTGATGAGCTAGGAGGAGACAATGGGCATGGGTGGCCCATGTACCTGGATGCCACCTGGCTGCCACCTAGGCATCTGCAATGATGCCTCAGTAGAGAGTGCCAGCATGGCCCTGTCCATCAGAGCCCTTCCCCAGGTACCCTGTCTCCCCTGGGAGTGAAATCTGGTGTTGGAAAGGATTCCTTAGTTTTGCATAAGGACCTGCCAGAAGGGTCCTTCAGAGAGTCAGACCCCAGTAGTGGAGATGGAGGTCTGGTTTCAGCAGTCAAATGTGCCCAGGTGGGAAGTCTGGTTCTACCAGACTCACGGGGAACTCCATAGCTGGGTCCTGCTCAAATATTAGGCTAGAGGACAAGTTTCAGGGGAGAACTGAGGCCTGGGAGGTTGGACTGTGGTGCATCCCCACCGGGGGGGACAAGGGAGACAGGAAGAATTTCTGGGTCTCAAGTGCCCATTCACATTCCTTCTTCCCATCCAGGTCAGTCCATGCTCACTCCATTGCTGCTTCTTCGGCATAGCCTGGCACACCTCACTGGGCATGGCTGCCTGGGCAGCACCTGCCTGGGCAGCACCTGCCTGGGCCAGCTCCCTGAGACCTTTACAAAGTCACTTCCCTCCCTGAGTTGCTCAATCTCCTCTGAAAACTGGGGTTCTCCATTTTGAAGCCAAAGGTGGTTGTAGGAATTCATGATCTGAGACATAAAATGAGCCGATGTGATAGGAAAACACCTGGGAACCAGTAAAGCACAGCTGCCAGGGGCAGCATCGTCACAGATGGGAAATAAGTGGGTGCTCGAGCCACATCCACCAGTTACCAATGGAGGTGAGCGCCGGAGAGGACCGTGGGCATATGGCTCAATCAGGATGGGTAAAAACATCTTTCCCCCAAAGGCCCCATATTCAAATCAATGTTTACAGTGTTGTGATAACTGAACCGAGTAATCACTAATAATATTGAGCAATTACCACATACGAGACTATGCTAAACCTTTCTCCTTCTTCTCTTATTTAATCCTCACCGAGGAAGTGGGTGCATTTTGTCATTTACAGATGAGGAAACGGAGGCTCAGAGAATGTAATTAACTGGCCTGGCTTTATTCATGCGGTTAGGAAGGCATGGCCATGATTGAGGCCCAAGTTTGCTGGGCTCCAAACCAGAGCTCCTGACAAAACACCAGTCCATGGACCTGGTACCAGAGAGAGGACATGAGAAAGAGCAAGCGCTATGCCTCCGTCCTCAAGTCTCCAACCCAGTGCTGCTCTGCCCTCAATCAGGCAACAAGGCAGAATCCCAGGGACCAGCTAGCATCCCTCCTGTGCCAGCTAGAGGCCTCTGGGGGGTAACCCGAAACTGCCACTCCTTGACAGATGGGGGCCCTGAGTCCCAGAGAGGGGCAGAGACAGGGCGAGGTCACGCAGCGCCTCAGGGGTCTCCTCTGCAGGCCCCTGCCAAGGCCAGACAGCTTTATTAATCTTGCCCCTCCCACTGCCCCAGATGGCGCCTCGGTCCCATCTGCACAGAGCGGGGTCCTCTGATTAAGAAGGACAGCTCAGCTCATAAATCACTCCTTTCACTTTCACTGCCCCCAGGCCCCGGGCATACTTTCTGGAGAGAGAGAAAAGAAGACAAGTGGACATAAGCCATGGAGAAGCCCCCATCAGAGGAAGCAAATGTAAGTGTGGGCTGCTGGAGAGTGAGGAATGTCCTGCCAGGTGAGGGCGCTGTAGTGCAGGAGCAGCCTTACCTCCAAACCCCGGGTTCCAGCCAGCAGGGTCTCTGCCCTGACAAGCTGAAGCCTGGGCCACCCTCCTCAGCATCTTGAGCTTGTTTCCTCATCTGTGCCATGGGGTTTCTCAGTCTAACTCCCAGGGTCCTCGAGAGAAGTGAAGGAGATGATGACGGTGAAAGCACTTTAGTGGCTACACATCCAGTCACTTCCTTCTGGGTGTGCCAGACACCTACTAATGCCAGCCCTGGGCTTGATCCAAGGCACAGACACCAAGGACTTGGTCAGGTCTAGGGAGAGGCAATAACCGGGTACTTGGAGGGGAGGGTTTACAGCCATCAACCTAGTGCTCTGGGCATGCCCAGCTGGAGAGAGAAAGGGCTGGAGGGGATGATAGAAGCTGGGGAGGCCTGTGTGGGGAGGACAGGGAGGACCAACATTCATGGGCTCAATGATAAGACACTGTGCCAGGGGCCATTACCAACAACTGTCTTACTTGATCTTTGAAAAAACTCTGCAAAATAGATATTATCATCATTCCCTTTTACAGAAGAGAGGAGAACGTCTTCCACGGGCCAGAAAGGTCTTAGAGCCGGAACTGACACCAGGTTTTAAGAGCCACGTTTTCCTTCAGGATGGGAGGAGGCTGGTCAGAATAACAATGATTCTAGCCGTCACGCTCATGGGGGAGGACGTGTTTGCACTCTGGCTATGCCTGCTGGGCCTCATCCCGGAGACAGACGGTCTGATAAACAAGCAATTGGCCCTAAATCCTGGAGTGCCTGGCAATGGCACGAACATGGGGACACGGACACAGCTGAGTGGGGGATAAAATCTAATTAGGCTCCTGGGAGTGGTGCCTTGAGGGTTAATGGCAGCAGGCAACCTGCCTTGGATGCAGTGGGATCCTAAATGACAGTTCCCCCCGACCCACAGAATTGTGACTGTCCAGGGGGGCAAAGCAGAGCGTATCCATGGCATCTGGGAAGGATGTGTCTCTGGTCTAGGAGCTGAGGCAGTACGTGGGCGCTCAGTCCGTGCCACAAGCCCTTCCCTCTGTCCCACCTAGAACTCACATATGCTGCTTCCATCAGAGAATCTCCAAAGAAGAACGCGCCTTGGTGAGGGGTAACTCCAATGCCGGCCTTTCACATGGGGGATGCCAAGGCCCAGAGAGGGACAGGGTCTTGCCTAACGTCACACAGCAAGGCTGGAACCGGGAGCTGCTGGCTGTAAGCCTGCTGCTTTCCCTCCACTCAGCCAGCCACGTAAGACTGACATCTTACTTTACCTGGACTTTCAGAAGCACTTTCCTATTTTGCATCACTGAATTGTCCCAACTACTCACGGTCCAGGAGATAGGCACTTGTGCTTTACAAGAGAGGAAACTGAGGCTCAGAGATGCACAATCCCTGGCCCAGGGTATCACAGGAGGTTGGAGAAACTGCTGGGACAAAGCAGGGTTCCTCATCCTTTCCTGGCTGTTCCCAAAGGTGTGGCCTCCGGGACCTGGGCCTGCTGATCCCCAGAGTGACCATTGGCAATCCAGGGCACCTTGGATTGGACATATGGACCTGGGCTGGACTCAAGCCACAGGAAGTGCTCCTCCCAAACCCAGGCAGTGGGTCTGTGTTCCTGTCTTTGAATGGAGACGGCCTAATGCAAAGGCCTCTGGGAACAAAGGTTCTGCGTCCTCTTGCAAAGACTTTTACCTTCCCCAGTCCCGGCGCTGAAGGCAAGGCAAGCTGGGCAATCTGAACTTGGTCAC